AAATTGGTCCTATGTCTTTTACTTGGTTCATTTTAAAAGTGAGTCCAAGAAAATAATCAGGGTTAGGATTTGAATGGATAAAGATAATTCCTTCCCACAATTGGTTCCCTCTTTGTTTCATATTTAAGAATACGAAGTCGCCCTTTCAGTTTGGAAATAGTCCCACAAAACTAATAAAAGGAGAACCAGCTGAGACACATGACATCTGTGCTCTGGTTACTGTGGTAGGACTTTAAGATGCTAGAACTTCTTTGACTTGTTTTTTTTCCATTAAAAAAAAATCAAACAACTATAAAGATCCAATCACCATGAAGGATAAGCTTTGATAATACATAGTCAGTGTCGGTTATAAAAGAGAAATGGGAAACTAGTAATAATAATTCAAATTATTTGTAATAGTCTTAAGAGTTGAAAACAAATCATTCAGATTCATGATCTCGTTTGATGCTCAGAACGACCCAAATGAGGTGGACAAAGGCAGAAGAAAACCTGAGGCATGGAGAGGTGAAGACACCTTTCCTCAAAAGTGGCTGAACCAGGACATGAATCTGACTTTTCTGGATCAAAGTCCAGGGCTCTTTTATGGAAGACGTATTCCAATAAGTTCATACTTTGCCGGGATATGTTAGAATGCTATAGATGCCTCCTTCTTGATGTCACCTCAGATCCCTGACAAGCACCTTGTAGGCCCATAGTAGCCTAGTATATACAAACGTGTTGGTTGGTGTCCATAAATTGTGACACAGCCAGTGGATTTCAGATGTTCAAAATTCTTCATCAATATCACCTCTGAACAAAACAGTCATATATAAATTTCCCTTTGTTGCTCCCAACCTTTCCCTTCAGTAACCTTTTTCCTCTTTTATCTCCTGTTGTATTGTCCTAAAATGGCTGTACCCTTTCAGGTGCCTGAAGGCTTCTGCTACTTTCTGCACTCAAGTCAAATACTTCTAATACCTGCAAGCATTCTACTCTTTTTCTCTGGATCCATAGTAATATCTGATGACCACATCCACCAGGGTGATCAAAGAAATGATCACACTGATGCTGCATTATCACTAACTGAGAGAATCACCCTTTTCAAGTGTCCCTGCTGGACATTTGTGCTCAAGCCACCCCCTACAGGAACAGGTAAGCACAACAGTTGAGCTGGAGCTCCACTTGGCCAAAGACAAGAGAATTTCCAAGGGCAGAAACCTGAAGACATCTAGTTTTTTGGAAGTGGCTCTATTTCTACTTATATCTAAAACACCTCTTGAGCTGATAACTCTTTGGAAAATGAAGGAAACCATACTGCATGCAAATGTAGGTTTTAATGTCACACATCACACTTTCAAATTTAGGTCTCCAGACATGGAAAAAAAATTAGTGTGCATGGCATGCCCAAAGAAGTGGAGTGAATAATTATTTCCTGGCATCGTCTATTCCAGATCCTATCCCAAATGAATGTTACAGTGAAATATATTTATTCGTATTGGGATGAAACTTAGGATATAATTCTAAGTTAATTTTATTTTCAAAGAAAATTTTATTAAAATAGATATAGGCTTTATTTAAAAGAGAGAGAGTCAGAACTAATGCATTTTTCCCAGGTTTAAGCATTTCATTTGATTTCTTTAAAAGCTTAATGTTTAAAGTGACGTTTTCAAGATACAATAATACTGACAAAGGAATATCTGATGGATGATAGAATCCATGATAAATCAACTGAGAATGAGACAAATCATCCAAGTGGGGAAAGAGGCTCTGCTGTTGACATGGAATCAACATTTACCATGGTTTCAGAAACAGGTAATTGTGAATGGACATAGCTTGTGTTTTTATCTGAACTGAGGATTTTGAAAATTTATGTTTTCACAAGATCTGATCCAGGTCTCTATGGGTCTTATAGATAGAATGCAGTTGGCAACTCTGACTCATGACTTTGTTTATACACTAGTGCTTCAGTACATCAGAAAAGCTATTTTTTCCCTATAGTTTCTAAGAATGGCTCTCAATTACAGAGAGTCCAAGTCAAGTCTGAATCATTTCTGGTTCCCTTTTCTAGCTTATGTCCGTCTTCCTTCTTGTACATACGCCCATTAAGACATATTTCAGAGCCCATCAGGGATATAGAATAGACATGAAATATTTTACTGATTTGAAAGTATGCTGGAAAAATTCCTTCCAATAAGAAAAATTATGCATATGAATTTCTTTTTTCCCTTACCAATGCATGTCAGCAAGGAAAACAGAGAAATGTGCTGACGTTTAATAAGTGTTCTAGAAAAGCCGTTCCCTTTTCCTCAACAGCCCATATTTGGCTCTTGCTTTTATAGTCAAATCTTGCCCTTGTGTCTTCTTATTAATCACCCTTATTGTCATGTTCAGCAGCAGCAGCAGCATTATCGTCATGTTTACTGTTATCGTAGTCAATTTGTTTTTTGGCATTTGCAGGGGGCCTGTCACTATTCCAGATACAATCACGTTTCCTAATTACTCTTCATTTCTACATACTATATAAAATTTCTCATTGATACATTGCTAATCAACTACAGTAAGTACTATAGTGTTCTTCCTAGCCTCCTCACTGTTACAAGTTCCCTAGTATCTCTTTCTTTTATTTCTTTCTCTCCCCAGCTCAACTAAGATCATCTTTGCTAGCCACTGTGACTATTGGTTGGTACCTCAAAAGTTCTCACTCTCAACTTCTACTACAACTAACTGGAAGCACTAATCTTCATAATTAATCTACAGTTTTCTTTCTTTCCTGGTTCTTATTTCCTCATTCTGGAGAAAAGGATGACTTCTTTTCCCTACACTATATATACATAGTGTATATATAAAAAATAAGGTACTTCCTTGCCCTCTCAAATGTGGTGTGGAGCGTGGGTTGATGAAACATAAACGTGCAAAGGAACCATATTAGACATATGAAGTTCCATGGGAACACCAAGGAAGGAAAATTATTTTAGTCTAAAATAAAGGGGAATGTTTTACATTCAGGAGAAGCCAAGATCCTCAGAGTAAAGAGAATTGTGGGAATTGTTAGGTAATTGATCTAAGTGGTGTATGTAAATAAAATTTATGAAAGAATATCAGGATTCATCAAAGTAGAGAGTTAAATGGAGAGAGAGACAAAACTCAGTGAAGTCCATTAATTTTAGAGTCTTAAATGATATCCACCCCATTTGCCTTTTATAAGTCTTTAAAACATCCTGTGCTCAGGTCTTTAAGTAGTGGATAGATCTCAAAAATATGGCCATGCTTTGCTATACTTGATGTTCTCCTCATTTTTTTATCCTTTAGAGTCATGAGAAATGTCATTTTCGAAGGATGACATCCCCAGAAGAACCAGAAAAAAAGCTGTGTGTGGAAATGATTGCTCATTCTAGGTGGTCACTTAAAGTAGCAATGGAAGCATGGGTATTTGTTTTATTACTCTTTGCACTTTCCTCCTCTTTTGAAAAATTATTTCTAGAAAATAATGAATAATAGCTGCTGCTAAACAAGGTGCTCATAAACTTGAAACAATTTTCTATCTCTGGACCACCTCTATGAAGCTTTCCGTAAATAACTTCACAGGAAATCATCTCTCCATTTGTTGGAATCCTGTAGCATTTTATCTGTGCTTCCTAATGTTACTTGACTATTAACCACTTAACTATTTCTATCTAATATTATATATTATATTTTATATTATTACATATTATATTGTTATATTTTATAAGTATCCCTGTAACATCTGCTCTCTCCTCTGAGATTTTTGATGGTAGCACCCAAACCTGTTTCGTTTCTCAACTTTCAAAGCTTAGGGTAGTTGGTATTTTGCATATAGTTCAGACTCAAGTTATTGAATGGCTAAGTGAATAAATGTATGAATGAGCAGTCCCATTGAAAGCTGATTCTCAACTTGTTACTCATAAGATTTTATTTCAAATATTGACTTCCAAAGGAATGACCACAAAATTAATATGAAATAGGATGAACATGACAATCGTTTTCAGGAAAACTGAGCTTTGAACTTAGTTCTGTTGTCTCTTTTTGAAATACTCTATAAATCAAAAACATTTGTTTTGTCAAAATTCTGACATTTTTCTTAATGAAATGTGCCCTGAGCTGGGTATATTCAGAGGTGTAGCATTTAAAGAGAAAATGAATTTAGAATTTAGTTTTCATGCTCATATTTGCCAATAATAAAAATTAAACCTCAAGGAAAGCAATACAATTAAATTGCTAAGAAGCAAAAGCAAAGCAATGCATGAATTATGACATAATATCTAGAATATTATGGATTTCTCCTTTTATAAAATATTATAAGCACTTCACAATGCATTATGTTAAATTAAATTACAAGATAAAATGCAATTGTCACTTAAAATATGTATTTAAAAATTAAAGCATCAAAAATAATTAATTATTAATAATTGAATAATTAATAATTTCTTATTAAAGTATTTTTCTGATTCAGAATAAAAATAAACCAAAAGGATAAAAAGTAATTTCTATGCACTATTAATTACATTTTTGTCATGTTGAACAAACAAAAACCCCAAACTTTTGGTTTGTTTCTAATGAATAAAGGAAGTACCCACCATATTTGACATGTGTACTTTACAATTCTATGATCTTTTTTTGTTAATTTCAGATAAATAATTTCAAATAAACAATTAGAGTATTTAAACAAGAGGAAACCAAAAGTTTCTAATGTACTCGACTAGAGCCTCTTCTCACATTGTTTCCAGTCACACTCTCACTTAAGGTAAAATAGAGAGTGTGGCAATAATCTCTGACATTAGTTTTCTTTGTGAAATAGAATATAAATGAAGAAAGTTTTCAACAGTGACAAGCAGCATGTAAAATTTAAGCTATTAAATTGACTAGTTCAAAAGAATGCCAAAATGAGGTGAATAATATACTTGTCTCCATTTCATAATAAAAAGCCCTAAAAACTTTTTTCAGAGTATTCAAACATCTAGAAGATTTTCCACAGGCTTAACATATGTTTAAGTTGATCCTACCTTTAAAATTTGGCCTGATTCTTGCATCATATCCTGATGTCCTTCCCATTAATTTGTCCAAGAAATCTGAAGGAGATAGAGTCTGCGAAGGTTGTTTTCCAGACCTGGAGTCATGGTCTTTGCAGAAAGCCATCCTAAACACATCATTAACTCTTTTAGCAACAATTCCATTCTCATCACCTGAGAACTAATGCTCACAGAATGTTTGACATCATGTTTTTAAATATATTTGATATGTTAGTAAGAAGAAAAAGAAAATTACAAAACTCTTTGGTCAACTTCAGAACTTGTACATGGTCTAAAGTTAACTTTAAATGATGAGTGATATAAATCCTGAGTCATATCTTCTAAGTTTCTAGCCATAAGATGTTTAAGATGATACAACATGCATAGTTTTAGGTTGTAGATTTTATGGATATATAAAGCTATTTCTTTCTAGAGTCATCAGAGAAATGAAGATGACAATATCTAAAATTTATTTGATTGTCTTAAAATCATTTGCCCATGACTTAAAAAAAAAGTCTTCCAACACTTCAGCCCTTAATATAAGTCCTCTGCTTTTATAAAAAGTAGAGGGAGAGAAATACGTAATAAGATGGGCAGAACAAATTATCCTATTGCTTCTTTTCTCACCTGCTAGATTCTATTCCAGCTATCAACTACTAATAATTTTCAATGTGTTGTCTAAAAGGAAATCTTCACTTGGAAATTTAATTTCATTCTAAGATAGGTCAAACAATAAGCATGTCTGTACTTCTATTATTTTATCAGTTGTTATTGATATATTAGCATTTAAATTGTTGACTCTCCAAAAGAGTATTCATGAAAAATAACTTCTAAATCATTTTGTCTTTTGCATTATCAAAAACACTAAATGTTGATTGGAAAATTTCTCAGATTTTCATTTCCTTTAAAGGGCTTATTTGGTTTGTAGTAAAATGAATTCTTTCACAATACATAGTGGTTGATTGAATGTTGATTTCTTTCCTAAAGCATACGTTTTACAAGCTTTGTTTTCAATAATTTAACAAATAATCTCGTTAATTCTATCATTAATAAAATACCACATTCTTGCCAGTTTTTCAAAGTAGTATTAAATACAAGCGCAAAGATGATATAAACATTTAGTAGGAGTTAAAAATTGATACAATCATCTAGAAATACTCACTTTCCCATATGCAGACTCATCTGATTAATCAACTATTATTTGATTATGATAATGGTGGTGGTGGTGATGAAGAAGATGATGATGATGATGATTCTAATAAAACCCAGCCTACAATTTTTATTAATCATAGTAGGAGGTGTGAACTTGAAAGGAACATAGTGGGGTTTCCCAGTACTCATAGCATTATTGCTATATGTTCCATTTCTCTTGGTTCTGTGAAAAAAATACCATAAAATTTGGTGAAAATTAAATGAAGAGTCCTACACTTTGTTGTATGAACATCTCCTATCTCTATCCTGTCTTAGAACCTCTGCCACTAGGATGGCTATTTCACTCACTGGTAATAATCTGATATTTTGAAGTATCAATTGATTTGACAATTTGTAAATTAGGTAGAAAATGCAAGCATGCAAATAATGATTTCTTACTTATTTTAATTATGCATAGTCCATTTCTCATGCATACATAAATACAAAGATGTCATATGAATTAAATTTTGGTAGCCAATAAATTTCCAAATATACTGAACAGTAGACTATAGTGGTAAAAGGAGATTTTAAATGTTTTTGATGTTTCAAGAAATTTCCTGAATTGTAGTCCTCATGGTATGCATCTACTTGCTGAAATACAATAGAAGTCCCAAGTTGGATAAGAATTAGGGTTCTTTTATATTTTATATAAAATGAGCATGCTCCTGGCAAATTAATCCAATCACTTCCACCTTATGAAAAGCATTGCATCCAATAATCCCTTTAAATGACTTCCAGAAGAATTTGAAAGCAAAAATATCACCATTACACAGAAATATAAACAGCATGCAACTCATCAGACTACCTTATATCACATTTGCTGTGAAAATGTGTTGAAATGCATAGCGTGGGGTTATGCATCATAAAACTTGCCTTTGTGAAAATTTACCACCCTCCCACCATAATTAAGCTTTTTTAAAAGAACAAAAGAAATCTAACTCTCCTCTATAAAATTAAAATAATATGGTCCAGGGCATAGAAAAATAGATAAAAATTGCGTGACACGTTCTCTTTCAAACAGTTTTCGTGTGCAAAATATCAGCATGCAAAGTCGTTTCACCTACCTGAAGTGGTTTGTCTCTAAGAAAAATGCAAACAAGGCTGTCAAAATGTTCACTAGCTGCCGGTCCATTCCTGTTTCTGTGATGCTCGTGGAAAATATCCCCGAAATGATTCCAGAAAGAAGCTAGGACAAAGTATCTATTTATTGTCCAGATTCAAAATCTGACAGGAGTCTAGTTTCCTTGAAAATCAAAAAGAGATTTGGGTTTGGACAGTTTGCTGAGAAAAAACAAAAAGTGCCAGTCCTAGACATCATGGTCAGGTCAAACCAGGGCTCAGGACCATCAGTTAACCCAGGAAAGACAAAGCCTTAGAACTGATAGATCCCCCAGTTGCTTTTCCTGAATAATGAAAACGCTGCTACCTTAATCGCATCACCACGTAAAGGGGAATGGTGACAATGCCATGCTGGAAGTCGTGTTGCTGTGGCTTTTATGTCCTTTCTGTTTAGCAAATCTCTTTTCTCTAGAAAATGTTCTCTTTTTAAAAGAAGTTGTAAATGAGGGAGAAGAAAGGACTCTGCGCGTTGGAGTGGGTAGGGAAAAGAGGGCAAAATTGCTGAGATCCTGTGCTGGAGTGAGGGCTACAGAAAGAGACGGAGACGTGATCCTACCCAGCCTATAAATTTCAGCACTCGGACAGCTCCTAGCTCTGAAGTGCGCATGTTTCCTTTTTCAGTCGCTTGGGGCGGGGGTAGGGGAGAGGCATTCAAGAGGGGACATGCCTGCCGTTCAAAGGCAAAGAGTGACTGGCCGTTCAGCGAAGGGTTGCTGAGGAAGGTGCGATGACGGCCAGGGGAGAGCAGAAGTCAGCGTAGACAGAGAGAATGAAGGACGCTAGGGTCTGAGCTCCTGGGAATGCGAGTCTGTTGGTGGGTGGGCGGGACGAGAGTTTGAAGCAGAAAAGAGAGGGGAATAAGGTTTAGGCATGGGAAAAGGAAATTGGAGGAAGCAGAGACCAGGATCAGGAGTACTGAAATTATAATAGGGAACTGGGTAATCTACTCCTTGTCAGTGAAACCTGGAGGCAAAAGAGGAGTTCTGTGCTGAAGAGGAGGGGACATTTCCTTGGCATATTGAAGCCCATGTGCAGAAAAAGGTTTATGAGGGTCGACAATTTAATTTAGAAGCCCCTTATGGCTTCCTCGCCCCTTGAGTGTTTTCTTTTGATTTTAGCCACCTGTTCCCAAAGGATCTCTCTACCTCTCTACTAGGGAAAGCCCCTTCCGCTCAGCTTTCTTCTGTGGCTCCAAATCCTTGGGCATCCTCAAGTCGCAGATTTGTAGAGGAGGAAAAATACAATGGGCCAGCAGGGGGCAGTAGCAATCTTTTCCTGCCCTGGCTAAAGGTTAGAGTAGGGCTCCATGTAAGAAATGGAGCAAGGAAGGATGAGACTGTGGTTGAGTTTCATCTGCCCACTCCAGATGTTCATCACCAGGGAAGGTTATGTAATAAAGTGTAGAAGTTCTCCTAAATTGGCTAAAGAGACAGAAAATAGTGAAAGTTTATAAATCCTGTACAAAAGCATGACAGGTAACCTTGCTATCTCAAATTAAATTTACAAATATTATTATTAATAAAAAAGAGGAAGTGTAAATAGTTCAATGCAAGTAATTAGCAGCTTCTGGTAAGGGGAAATGAAAAATGGATGTTCTACGATGAGCTGGGTGAGTAACCTACTTTTTCTCTATAAAATATACCTCGTTAGTCACCTTGACACTCCATTGCAGGTCTTAATTTTAAAAGAAAATAATATGATTAATTTTTTGTCCATAAATGACTAATCTTCCCTTCAGTCAGTTTAAATGTCATAGCAGAGTAACAAATATTTCTATGTTTTTTGAAGGTAGATTCTGAGAAAAAAGTTGCAAATTCTTTTCACCTTTTAATGTTAATATAAATCACCTGAGGATCTTGTTGAAATGCAGATTCTGATCCAGTAGGTCTGAGGTGGTTCTGAGATTCTGCATTTCTAACAAGTTCTTAGCTGAAATTGATGCTGCTGGTCCACTGATCACACTGATTAGCAATGGTCTATGTGCCCTTTTATGAGATTTCTATCCCACCAAGACAGTGAGAATATAGGAACCTCTCTTTAGATGAAAAGCAGCAATGGCCAAGCATTCTGCTTATGTACAAAATCAATTCTTTGGATGTGTTCTCTTAACTCTCAAAGCCCAGAAAAAATGATTCAATTTAAAAGGAAAACAGTATAGTGTAGTGTGAGACATCCCTGGACTGCAGCTTCGAATCTATCCACTTTCAAATTCATCCACATGGAAACTCTAGACCTGATTTTATCCCTGCAGTCCTGACCCCAAAAATAAAATCAATTCCTGGAAATACATTTCTTCAATTTGTGCTATATAAAACTCATACAAGAATTTTTATGCTCAAGATTCTTTCCAAAAGAATATATAGAGAGAGTGTATATATATACATATAAAACAATTTGTCCCGAATTTATTTGAGGTTGTAATGATGCTTACAATAATACAGTCTTTGCAAATCATTTCTTTCAACAGCAGTGTCTTATTATTAAACAGGAGTAGGGTGAGTAGGGAAACTTGTGACAAAGGGAGACTCTGGCCAGCAGCATAAAATCACAGCATTTATTTTAAAGTTGGAATGAACTTTAGAGAGGATCTAGTCTAGCCTCCTCATTTTACTTCTCATCTCTTCTCAATTTGGATTCCAGCTCTGTCAATCCACAGAAACAGTTCTCCCTAAGTCTGCCAATGAATTCCTTGTAACTAAGGCCAAAAGATATTTTTCTGTTGTCATCTTACTTGACATTTCTGTGGCCCTTAACATCATCAGTCTTTTTTCTCTTCTTTTTTTTTAAAACACTTTTATTTTTATTTTATTGGGATAAGAACACTTAATATGAGATCTACTCTCTCAAAAGATTTTTAAGTGTACAATGCAATATTGTTAACTATAGGCACAATATTGTACAGTGGATCTCTAGAACTTATCTTGCCTCACTGAAACTTTATACCCATGGATTAGCAACTCCCCATTTCATCCTCTCCCCTGTTTCTACAACCACCATTCCGTTCTCTTGAAGCACTTATTATTGCTTCAATAATAAATGACACAGTGCACTCCTGGCTTGCCTCCTATTCTATCTACTTGGCAGGCATATTCCCCTCTACCTGGCTTATAAAAGTTAGATTTCCTGAAAGCTATATTCTAGGCCCTCTTTTCTTCTCACACTACACTCTCTCAGACAATGTTATGCACATCCATAACTTCCATTATCCTTTTATGCAGATAACACATAAATATATGTTTCTATCCAGACCTTTATATCCAACTACTTCCTGAACAATTCCTGTTGGATATCTCAAAGTCTCCTCAAACTCTACATGTCAAAAACAAACTTTTAATACTTCCTCCAAATCCTGTTCCTGTTCTACTGTGCCTGTTGCATTGTCACTCACCAAAAGCCAAGGCATCATCTCTAAGCCTCCATCACCCACCATATTCAGTTCTTTACCAAGCTCTATTGATTTTATCTCTCAAATATTTTCCAAATCTGTCCACTTCTCTCCATCTCAACCTCCATGACCCCAGTTGGCTTATCCTTATATCTTGCTCATATTTCAGCAGCAGTTAGCTTACTAGTCTACTTGGACCAACAGCTGATCCTCCTCCACCTCATTCTCTACACTACAACCAGAATGGTTCTTCAAAAATCAAAATCTATTTATATCACACCCCCTGATTAACACTATGATTCTCCATTGATCTTTGGGTAGAACAAGAAAACTACTTGACCTAAAAGTTCCACATGGTCTGGCCCATGCCTACATTGTCCTTCATCTCATCCCCTACTTATCTCATTTGTTCCTCTCTAGCCATATTTGTCTCCTTTTAGTCCCTCATGTTTGCCATATTGCTTAATTCCATGGAGTGCTCATGCCTCCCATTTTGTCTTGTTAACATCAGCTTATTTTTCAAATCTCTGCTCAAGTGTTATTTCTTCAAGAAGGCCTTACCTGACCTGCATGACTCTATCAACTCTCCCTATTACCTGCTCCCTTAGTATTTAGCAACTCTGATTCAAAGAGCTTGTCACCATTGCATGTATACGTGTGTATGATTAATTGCTTAGATAATGAGCTTTGTAATGGACAGGGCAGCATCTATTTTGGTCTACCATTGTATCTCCATACATTCAGTGATAATGACAATAATCACAATCGTATTGATGGTGACTAGGATACAATTTTTAAAATGCACCCAGAAGTGCTGCTAAAATAAAAAAATATATTTAAATATGTATAATTCTGTCAAAAATTACTTGTTAGAGAATTAACAAGTTAAGAACTATGATTATTTGAAAGGAAACCAAGCTCAGTGGCTCAGGAGTCTATAATATGAGATGAAAATTCAAGTAGGAGACTATGAATCTGATGTTCTTGATTCAGGTTCCACCTCTAACACTGATCAATTATGTGACCTTGGGCAAGTCATTTTATCCCACTGAGCTTCATTTTCATAACATGTAAAATGCAGATGATAATATTGCTACATAAAATACTTCTATATGGAAGACTCTTCAAAGTCATATGAAATCATAGCTGAGAATGTGTTTTAGACTCTTAATCTCAGTTCTTAGCATCAATTGACTGCTAAACTTCGTGTTTTGACTTTATCCCTTGGACAATTCCAGTTTCAAAGACAGTAAGTCTCAGGAGCTTGGAAAAGGTCTTACTTGCAATGCAATGGAATACTGAAGTCAAATCCACCTATGCTTCTAATTCACCAAATTACAACCGGTTGAGGCACGTGGCACCCTTGTTTTATACTCTTCTTATCAGAGAAATGAGAAGATTCTGACCCATCCTATAATGTCATAAGGATCAGTACACGATATTCGGTCTATATGATGCTACATATTAAAAAATTCTAAATAGATATAAACAATTAGAGACATTTAGTATGAACTCAGTATCATTTGAACATCAGTACCATTTACTGACACTGATAAACCTCTAACATATACATGATGCTTTTTAGTTTTCAAAATACCTGCACTACGTGGTAGGCAGAACAATGATTAATTGCCATATTTTTTTCCAATGAGGAATCTGACCTTTATATAAGTCAATCAATTGTCCCAAATCCACATGATTATTATGTGACAAATTCATACTTTGTATACTTACTACCCAAGTGAACAGACTTATTTCTGGTCATATGTATGATTGATGTTATTTTTCAAGTCTCAGAAAACCTACTATGTACCCACCACTATCTTTTAATAACTATGTTTA